GAGTGGCTTGGGGTAGGTGAGGCGGGGACCAGGGAGGGATGTTTTACAAGTGCTGTCTTTCTTTCATAGATTCTAATAGTGCTGTATGTTTGTCCTGAAGGTAATGCTATGGCCTTTAGTCCATAGCATGGCACAAATGGACATGTTTATTTTTTGGTATATTTAAGCCAGCCAGCCTGAAACCCTGGCAGTTTAGACTGACATGCATGAAAACTGGTGTTACTTCTGCCCATCAGGTGGTATATCTGATGATTCTTGTTGCAGAAACTGAACTGAGACAGGTAAGTGTGACCTATATGTCACCCAAGGTTATCTATTCTTCACTACATGAAATATCCAGGAAGATGTCCTACAGAGTTAAGCAGTTATTTTATTGGCTTAAAGGAACAAGGCTCTATATAGAGCTCTACTCTGCTCTCTTATCCCCCTTCCTTCCTTTCTCTTGCCTCCCTTCTTTATTTCCAAGTTTTGTGTTGCTGTTCATTACTGTGGCATCTGAGCATCTCTCTTATAAGCCAGGCTGACAACTACTAGGTCTCTGTGGATGTTCAAACAGCCTAAGGCTCACCTCTGCTCTTGGGAGGCTAGGTAGTTTGTTTGTGTTACAGCAGTCTTTTGTATGATTGATCTATGTTTGTAGGATGGACACTGGGTGTGTCCTATAGTTACATGGGGCTAAAAGCTCTAATATAGTTCTGCTTCATTCAGTGCATTTGGATTTTGGTCTTGTTTAAGACTGCACAACACAACAGCCAACTGGTTCATGCTGGGACCTTTTAAAGATATAGTTCTTCACAACTTCCTTCCCCAGCCAAATATAACAACAACAACAGGTAACAATCCATGGTCACATAGTCAGCATTTCAGATGCGTACAAATAATCTGGTGGCCTTCTATGACCAGGTCACAAAATCCTTAGACACAGGTGTAGCAGTGGATGTAGTCTTTCTGGACTTTAGGAAGGCCTTCAACCCTGTCTCTCATCCCATTCTCATTAAAAAACTAGGGGATTGTGGCGGCAACACCTACACAGTCAAATGGGTCACTAGTTGGCTGGAGGGCCGCACCCAGAGAGTGGTGGTGGATGGGTCTTATTCGACCTGGAGGGATGTGGGCAGTGGGGTTCTGCAGGGCTCAGTCCTCGGGCTTGCACTGTTCAACATCTTCATCAGTGATCTGGATGAGGGTGTAAAAAGCACCCTGTTCAAATTCGGAGACGACACTGAGATATGGGTAGAAGTGGGCACGTCAGAAGGGAGGAATAGGCTGCAATTGGACCTAGACAGGTTACAGGGGTGGGTGGATGAGAACGGGATGGGTTTCAACACTGACAAGTGCAAGGTGATGCACCTTGGAGGAAGAACCAGCAGCAGACCTACAGGCTGGGGAACTCCCTTCTTGTCAGTGCAGAGGCAGAAAAGGATCTTGGAGTCGTTATTGATGCCAAAATGAACATGGGCTGACAGTGTGGGGGAAGCGGTCAGGAAAGCCAACCGCACCTTGTCATGCATCCACAGATGCATCTCAAGCAGGTCCAAGGAGGTGATCCTCCCCCTCTATGTGGCACTGGTCAGGCTGCAGCTGGAGTACTGCATCCAGTTCTGGGCGCCGCACTTCAAGAGGGATGTGGACAACATGGAGAGGGTCCAGAGGAGGGCCACTCGCATGATCAGGGGGCAGCAGGGCAGGCCCTACGAGGAGAGGCTACAAGACCTGAACCTGTTCAACCTCCACAAGAGAAGGCTGAGGGGTGACCTAGTGGCTGTTTACAAACTGGTCGGGGGGACCAGCAGGCATTGGGGGAGTCACAAGCTGGCAGAGGGTAGATTCAGACTACCCTCAGGAGGTGCTACTTCACTGTCAGGGCAGCTAGGCTCTGGAACCAACTTCCAAGAGAAGTGGTGCTGGCTCCTACCCTGGGGGTCTTTAAAAGGAGGCTGGCTGAACACCTTGCCGGGGTCGTTTGACCCCAGTACTCTTTCCTGCCCAAGGCAGGAGGTTAGACTTGATGATCTGCTCAGGTCCCTTCCGACCCTACCAACTATGAAACTATGAAATCTACTGGCTATGTTCAGTTAGTCTCTGAGGTGCCTTGCACTGTTTCATGGACCTTTCCAAAACAGAACACTCCTGTTGTCAGGCTGTGGTAAGTCTATTAACTTTAGTTGTGGCATCTCGTTGGGCCTTAGCTTGCATGGCAGTTGCCCATCGGAGATATTCTCCAACAAAGTGGCTGATTTGGTTCTGCTTCTCTCTTTCCTTTCTACAGTTATGAGAAGGGTACTTTTCATGTAACAGGTACTATCCTGTGGGGAGGGACCCTGGGTTTCATCTCCTATTTCTACTAGTGCAAAAGCTATCCCACTGCTGTCTGTCCATTTTATCCAATGATTATTAAATACAAAATAAAGAAACACTATTGGGACACAGGCTAAAACCCAGGGCTCCTTGCTTCCTAGGGTAGCCCCCTTGAACCATTTATCAAGGTATCTTTTGACCTCACATATCTTGGCAGTGTGGTGGGTCAGCCTTGGTAGGAAGGTAGAGGCTGCCCACCTGTTCCTGGGCTAACCACCCCCCTCGCTCTCAAGCCACGCCTTGTTTCATAATTGGTTCCAATTAGGTAGGGGGCTGCCCATTCTTGCCCCAATGATTGGGAGCACCATCTATGGCTCTGTTCCTCCCCTACATCACAGCCCAAGCCTCACAGATGGCATCCACCAGTGGTTTGCACTGGGTCTTTTATAAAACATATACACAAACAGACAAACAAACACATACTGGGCTCCACACTCTTGGCCCCCTCACTGGGGTCTTCTACATCTAGGGGCTCAGGTGGCCACAGCCTTGCCTGAACCTAGGGACTTACATCCCCACACCACCCCCTCACTGGGGCTTTACACACTACCCCTCCCCTGGGGTCTGCTGCCCCATCCAGCTCAGGTGGCCATAGCCATGCCTGGCCCCCTCTCAGGGTCCCTGCAGCCACAGGACTCATGAAGAGCCTGGGCATTGCTTCAGGTCCCTCCACTGACCTGGGCCCTGCCTCAGGACTCCCATGAGCCTGGCGTTCCCCTGAACTGCTTGAACCCACCAGGGATGTGGGAGCTGGGGTTATTAAGGTGCCTCAACCCACCTTTTACTGGGGTGGTAACTAGCCTGGTATTTCCTGGGGGCTCCCGTGCCACTGGGAGCCCCCACCAGACCACCCACTCCCGGCAGGGTGCAGTTTTTGGTCATGCCCAGGACCAAGAGCCTCCTATCCATCCTCATAGGCTCTTGCCCTTATATCCTGGGTTATTCTTACAGCAGCTCAGCTAGGCAATGTTTCTGCCTGGGCTGGCAACAGCAAACTGCAGCCTTTATATGCCTAGTGTTCAAAATGGCTGCCCTCATCAGGCACCTGGTAGCTGCCTACCTCTGCCCTTAAAGTGGCAGGCACCTGTAGGTGCCCTGCCACCATGTCTTGCTGAGTGGAACTGAAACTTAACAATGGAATGAGTGGCTGGACCCAGCCCCTAATGAACACAGTCAGACTGGCAAGGGAAGTTGTGTAGGGAGAGTAGATTTAAAATGCACATTAAGGCTAGGGACAGACATTACACACAAACTGGTTCAAGTGATCAGAAACTGGTTTAAACCTGTAAGAGAACAGACATTCAGTGCACATAAACACCTTTAAAAAGAGTCTGAAACTGGTTTGAGAAAGCCTGGTTGAATGTACTTTCAGACTTAACTGATTTGAGTCAAACTGGTTTATGCAATGTCTGCCCCACACCCCTTCCTAGTTTAAGTTAAATCAGATTCCCCCAGCATTCCAGCATGCTCTCTGGGCTGGGTGGACCCCTCCCCTCTGCTCCCTGGCTGGAGCTCCAGCAGACACTTGCAGGCACAGCAGGGTCTGCCTGGCTTCCCTGTGTCCCTCTCACACCCCACCACTCTCTGCTTAAGCAGGGATCACTTCCTCCTCTTTCCCACAGCATGGACCATAGCCAGCATGTGGTATGCTAGCTAATGCTGAGAAGTGTCTGTATAGGGCAGACAGGACAGTGTTGGCTTAGGGCTTTTTGAAGCTAATCAACATGTCAGCTGGCAATGTCTGACTAAGAAGAGCTTGAACTAATGACCGAGGCTTTGTTTTCTGATGGGGTGCTAAATGCTCTGTTATCAAGGGGTGGGGGGACCTGTCCCTAATGAGAGTGCCCTGCTGGGGCCTGGTTACACTACCCCTCAGCTCAGTGCTGACAAAGGGAAGAGAGGGTTGCTCTAGCACCCCCTGGCTTCTAGCCTGAGCTACTGCAGGCATGTGTGCCTGCATTTCTTCAGTCCAGAAGGGATGTCTGTACAGTTACAAGCTGATTCAGTCTAGGCAGGTTAGACTAACTTGCAAAGATTGAATCAATTCAGGCTCAGGCTTTTTGAATGTCTGTCCCTAGCCCAATAGCCTCAAATGTCACTGATGCAGCTAACTATTGATGTAAGTGCTACTTACACACCTAAAGTGGGGCTGGCCTTGTGCCATTCTGTCTGTCAGAGTGCTTGTAAGCATCTCTTTTTAATTTGTGCATGTAAAACATGCACATTAGGTGCTGATCTCATAAGGCACCTACACATGTACCTGACACCTGCTCTGCTGCATGCTAATTAGCATGCTCCAGCAGTTTCAGCACCACATGTATTCACTGTCCCTGTGCTTCAAAATAGCAGTAGGGGCACTTTGAAGCTTGTTGAATGAGCTTTAGTTAAAGCACTCCCCCCTTGCCCCCATTTTAAAGTGTGGTACACTGATTACATGAGACACTGTGGGCACTTTAATTACATTACATGAGCACTCCCGAGAGCTGTTCTAATTGAAGCACCCCTTCCTCCCTGGAGCATGTGTAAAGATGCCCACAGATACTCAAGCAAGTGCTTGATTTAAGGAACCAAGCAGTTCTCTTAGTGTGTTTAACTCATTGCAAAATCAGGATCTTAGATTAACGTATAGATAGTTCAATAATAATACAAAATTGAATAAGTATTTCAATAAATGTTTTAAACATACCCGACACAGTGCATTTGATACTCTGTGGTTTACTCATTGGAGAGATAAAAGGAGACATTCAAGTGTTCTTTATAGTTTTAAATCAAAAGCTCTAACCTTTGTTTGTCATTACCTTCTCAGAATGTTGAATATAAAAATTCACTGAGCTTTTCTGCTCAACCAATGTTCCCTACTGTTACTTGTTCAAGCCAAGCCAAGCCAACATTACTCTGCCTTTTATGCTGCTTTTCTTTTATA